GGAGATGGCGGCGGCCCCCCCCAGCCAGGCCAGCCTCTCTGGGGCCACACACTGCTCTCACCACGGAGCGAGCGCAAACCTCGCAAGTGGCTTTGGAGGACGGTGTTCAACAAGCGATGCCCATTTTACAGCCGTTCAGCCAGACCCCATCTCCCTGGCTTGCTTGTGAGACTGTCACCAGCCGACTGTGTCAACAGCCCTCCCAGAGCAGCTGTCTCCCTTCTACTGCGTCCCTCCCCTCAGCCCAGAGCCTGGCTCCCGGCAGAGCCCAAAGCTTGGTTTGGCACTGGCTGGCTCTTGGCAAACCCACAGGGGTATTACTGATCCCGTTATTAGCCCTAGGCTTCCTGCCTCCCTCGGGGCAGGGAAGGGCAGTGGAGCTAGACTAGCAGGCAGGCTGAGCTGCAGATCTGACCCCCAATTTAAATGCCTGGAGCAGTGGGGCTTTCACTGCTCCCCGGGGACTGGCCGGAAGCAGCCTGCACACGAGATCACACCTCTGGCCCTGCTCCCCGCTATGCCCACACTCCCCCCGCCCACCCCTTTCTCCTGGGGGTCTGCAGCCTTCTGCTGCCGCAGCCAGGATCGCAGGGCTCTAGCTTAGCGGAGGGCAGCGGCTCATTGTTGGGGGTCTCCCCTGCCACCCAGTGCTAACCCGGGGGCTCCAGCGGAGCGAGCTCTGCAGGGACACGGTTGTTCTCCATGGGTGCGCATGCCCCCAGGCCTGGCTCTGAACGCACCCTGCATTCGCCGTTCCCTCTAGGCACCCCCATACCTCTGGCAGGGCAGGGTAAAAGAGACTTTGCACACTGCTCCGTCCCGAGGCCCATCAGAGGAGCAGCCAAGTCTCATAACTCCGCCTCTTCCATCCGAGGCCCCACCCCTTCTGGGGCAGCCGCAGCCACCTCTGCAATTCGTGACTTGGCCCCCCCCCCGAAACTATTCAACACCCCATGGTTAGATACTGCTTGTAAGAACATAAGAACGGCCGCACTGGGTCAGACCAAAGGTCCATCTAGCCCAGTATCCTGTCTGCCGACAGTGGCCAGCACCAGGTGCCCCAGAGAGGGTGGACCCAAGACAATGATCGAGCGATTTGTCTCCTGCCATCCCTCTCCAGCCTCTGACAAACAGAGGCCAAGGACACCATTTTATCCCCTGGCTAGTAGCCTTTTATGGACCTAACCTCCATGAAATGATCTAACTTCTCTTTAAACTCTGTTATAGTCCTAGCCTTCACAGCCTCCTCTGGCAAGGAGTTCCACAGGTTGACTACACGCTGTGTGACAAAGAACTTTCTTTTATTAGTTTTAAACCTGCTCCCCATTAATACCCATTGTGCGCGGGTGAGTTTATTTTCCAAACACTGGCTACAGGCTGACGCTGCCCGAGGGCCCCAGGGGGAAGGGCGGGGTGAAAAGGCCCAGGGCAGGGAGCCGGCTCCGCCACGGCTGTCACACAAAGGAAGGGCTGGGGCCTGCTGGGAATTTTATGGGATTTATTTATTTTTTTATAATTTTTGTGGTTTTTATACAGGCTAGCGTTGTACCCTTGGCTAAAGCTGCTGATTCTGCCACATAAACTAGAACAGAAATGTCTCCGAAATTAAGTCAGGTCCCTCCTGGTTAAGTCGCGGTCTCCTCCCGAGCGCACCCCGGGTTGTGTTTGCAGCAGACCCCCTGCCCCAAGTCTGGTGCAGCCCCCTGCTCGGACAGATTTTTGTGGTTTTTATACAGGCTAGCGTTGTACCCTTGGCTAAAGCTGCTGATTCTGCCACATAAACTAGAACAGAAATGTCTCCGAAATTAAGTCAGGTCCCTCCTGGTTAAGTCGCGGTCTCCTCCCGAGCGCACCCCGGGTTGTGTTTGCAGCAGACCCCCTGCCCCAAGTCTGGTGCAGCCCCCTGCTCGGACAGAGG